AATAAAAATGCCACATCATTTATGAACAAAACCGAAACTTACAAAAAACCATATAGAAAAACCTATCTAATGAAACTTAAACAACGAATATTAACTTAATTATGGTTATTTTCATATTGATAAATCGTTTAATACAAATATAAATACTATAAATATAGAATTATATCAAGTTTTGACATACGATATAAAAAAACATGAAATTTTCCATTTCATTATTAATGTCATTAGAAGAATCCACTAAACCAACAATCGAAGAAAATACACGCAAACATAATGATCCCGCCCCGCACTTGCGCGGGGAATATGCAACTAGTTGAAATAAATTTACACTAATAATATTATACTTTTAGAGAATATGGTAATTCTTATGTATTATGTTGTTATCCTGAAAATATATTTTTATATTATATCATTTAAAAGTAAAATAAATTTTTTATCTATTATTAATTAAATATAAATCTTCACTCAAAAAAATTATTTAAGAAATGAATTTGCTGATTCATTAAGTTCTCAATGATTTTAGATAATTTTAATTATATGTCATAATTTCTATAATCTTATATAATTATTATATAGCTAAAAAAATATCATATTATATTTTCAGAAAATAAATAACTTATGCATTATATTGTTATCTTGAAAATATGTTTTTCTAATATAAATTTTAAATTTAAGTTATAAATATTATAATTAAATATAAATCAAGAAAAATAGTTATAGAAATATATTCATTTAAGTATTTCTGATGTTTGAGTTTTGTCATTGATAATTATTTGATGTCTGATTTTTACTTTTTTTAAAACATAAATAATAACTTACTATGCTGATTTTTAAATTAATAAAACATCAACTAATAAATATTCATAAGAGAATTATGCGTGCAAGTGCGGACAAAACACCTAGTTTTTAATATATAACACTTTTTGTTTATGTTACTCTTAATTACTCTAAAGACAAACCATTTACTTGAAGAAACATTTGAACTATTTAAATCTCCTCGTACTGTTTTGTTGTTTCCAATACAAAAAATGGTGACAACAACTTTGAGGAGGAACAAAGTTCACAAAAAATGATTCCGGATAAACATATCCAAACTTCAACAAGTATTGGACTATAATACAACATTGTCACATGACATCTTTCTGTAAAAGAAGGAAGACCAGAATGGAAATCGGCCTTGAGACTTTTGCTTATGCAGCGGCTGCAGGATCGTTTATGACTCCCAAAAAATCGTAAACAATGGTGCCCACACAAAACTGCAAAATCAAAGACAAATGTTAACATTGAGAAGAGTAAAGCCAATAAAGTTTGAAAGACTATAAGTTGTTGCATTGTGGATTTAGAGTCATGGAGAATGGTGCGTACGATTTCAGTGGCATCGACTCTGGTGCCAATAATCTGTAGTCTCACTTCACATTCTTTCTGGATCTTAACCTTAAGAAAGCATTGTAAAACATTAAGTTTGTTGAAGATATAGATGAAACACGGCAGGGGAAAAAAAGAGTGAGTTAGGGTCTGTAAAAGATCATATAAGCTTACATGTTTGGACCCAAAAATCTGAACAGGGTCAGCTTCCGCGAAAAATCCCATCTGGTAACATATATGTTAGGGAAATTTACATCACTTCATAGACTGATTTCTTGTCACTAAAGACATTGACACTGTATGGAAGTATAGACATATATATACCTTATTGACGAGAGTGACAACGGCCTTTGAAAGGTCCCTAAAAAGGCTTTTTTTTTTCTTTGTGAAGGTTTTTCATTTTACCTTTTTGAATGCAGATTGAGTTTTAAAGTTAAACCAAAGGATTAACTTGTAATCATTCACACATTTTAGTTATGTAAAATCTTTTTTTTTTAGGGTTTGTCACACTTTAGGTCATGACTGCCGAAGATTCCCCGAGTAAAAGCGTGTCATAGAGAATATATATAAGTTGTATACACCACTTGAGTAATTCAGTTGATGAAAGAATAAAACTTTGCAGACTTTTTTACTGTCTAATATGAGTCGCAAGAAGATAACGAACATAAAGTTTTTGAGAAAAGAAAGTGTTTAAGTAAGTAAAAGGATGATATAACAACATGTAAAATGTAGTTGTAAGCCTTCTTGCAAAGGCTTCAGGACAAATTCTCAGGGAGCATCAAAGGCTTCTCTATCTCCCGCGTTCATGTCTTCTTTCCCGCAGAGGGTTCAAACTGCAAAATTGCCAAAACCAAATAATCCTTCTGTAAGTGAATGCATATGAAAGAACCACTATTGCAACACAGAGCATCTAAAAGACCAAATATAGAAGGCACTTGAACTACTACCTCTTTACATCATAAGAACCGGGGCCTCCGATCCGCAGGCTTAAGTATTTGGAAAGAACACATCAAACTCTCATCAACACTCATCATCGCACCAGCATTATCAAATTCACCACAATAGTTAGGAGCTGAGAATATAGTCACAAGCTGTCTATCAGCAAAGAACTCATAACCATCCTCTACAACCTGCCATTTAAAAACAAAACAAAAAAACAGGTCTTAACTAAAAAATTCCGCAACTCTGAAAAAAGATTTGTGTAGTTTAGACAAACCTGGTGAGCACGGCAGATGAGATCCATATCATTCTTAATCAAAAACTCAGCAACCTTATCAGGCCCAAACGTGTAAGAAACTCCACGATCATTCATCCCCCAACCTTTAACATCTTTACTCGGATCAGACCAAAGAAGATCACAAAGCAGACCAGAGTCCGGAACATCAGTAGGTCTCTTAATGTTCTTAATCTGTTCCACGTTAGTCAAATCTGGAGAAAGACCACCGTGCATACATAATATCTTATCGTCTATTACAGCAGCTACAGGGAGGCAGTTAAAAGAATCTGTAAAGACTTTCCAGAGTCTCACACTGAATCTACGTTTGCACTCATCGTAGAATCCGTAGATTCTGTTGATGGAAGCACACTCGTGGTTGCCTCTAAGAAGGAAGAAGTTCTCAGGGTATTTGATTTTGTAGGCAAGGAGAAGACAGATTGTTTCCAAGCTTTGTTTCCCACGGTCAACGTAGTCTCCTAAGAATAAATAGTTAGCTGCAGGAGGGAAGCCTCCATATTCAAATAGCCTCAATAGATCTGAATACTGTCCATGAATATCACCTGAAAAAAAAAACAGAAAAAAACATTACAGAAACGTGTGAGTTTTAGAGGCCCAAATGAGACACATAATCATACATGTTTGTAAAACTAGACAAAACACAATCCCAATGTTCTATAAATTGCTAGATGGTGGTTCATAGAGGTTTATTAGTTAGGCGGACACCTAGACCGATTTTTTGAATGCCTAAACAGAATATTAACAAAATCGGTTTGAAAAATTGTTTCGCTCATATCCGATTTGCCAATTAGATGCCACCTATGCCGCCTAGACCGATTTTTAGAACACTGCACAATCCTAGGTTACATCAATCGTTAGAATAGTCAGCTAATCCTTGTAAAACAATAGTTTAAGCTCTCATTAAACCTTTCAAAAAGGTCTCACCCAAAAAGTTAGAGCAATTTCAATGATCATTATGAGTTTTTTTTTTTAACTTCTCTTTGTTACGAGACCAGCTGCTGGAATCAGATGATTGGTTAAACATCTCTACATCACTTAGCAACTTCACAAAAGAACAACCTTTTTGTTCTTCCTTATCTATAACTTGACTAAACACACAAACACATCCTGGTCTAAAACCTATTCATGTTACACAAAAACTACCCAAGACAGATAAAAAAATTAAACTTTTTATTTGGGTTCACTGAAGAAGTCAGATCCCAAAACCCAGAAAATATTAAAGATGAAAAGAGAGAGAAAAATTGATTTACCGCAGATCTTGATGGGAGCTTCGAGCTCAAGGAGGTTAGGCTGTTGAAGGAAAATCTCTCTAGAGACCATACAAAGCTGTCGGATCTCAGACTCGTTGAGCATAACCTGTTTGGTTCCAGGCTTAGGGTTTCTGTAATCCAACAAACGACGAATGATGTCGTCTAGAACGGCAGGGTCCATGCTTCCTCCTCCCCCCTGCGCCATTCCAACGATCCAAACTAACTAACAAACACCTTTCGATTTGTATCTATCTATACACAAAACAAAAGATTCAATATCTCGGATAATAACCGATCGCTTAAGAATCTTCTCTCTCGATCTTCGGACCAATTAAAGTTGGTTTCTCCTTTGTTTCGCCAAATATTCTCTTCGTTTATTTTATTTTATTTTAAATAGAAATAATAATAGCAGAATGCAACTCTTTCTTTCTCTCTCTCCTCTGCATAATGTTAGAAATCATCTCCCCCGTGTTCGTCCATTTTTGATGGATTCGATGGTCCCCACTATGCAATGCACATCACATTATTTTTCTCTGTAAATAATCATTTTTGATAAATAGTATTTTGTTCATTTGTTTTGATTAAATATTAGCAAGTTGTGTGTTTGCCAAATTTTCCTATTTTCTTATAATATATTTAGATTTTCAGTCATCATCTATGTTATTATTTTAAAATAATTAGTGAATATAGCAGAAATTAATATATGAATAATCTGAATATGTAATTAACTCCCATAGGGGATTTTACGTCAAAGTATATAAATAAATAAACAAAAGAATGTAACGTTACACATACGTTAATATTCAGATCCGGTGTGGTTTTTGATTCAAAAACTTGTTTTATTTTCCGTTTAAAAAAAAAACTTAAAATTATAGCTATCATGATGTGTAATCCATAAGAGGATTTTAAAGAAGGGAATGAAATGTGCATACAGGCGAGGAAGATAGATACAAAAGAAATGCAGCAACTTATATATCTTTGTTATTGACTTGAACAAATTATGTCACTTGTAAACCAAACTCCACTAGTGTTTCTTATCCTTCACAGCTTACGTTGGATCTATTTTGATCAAAGATAAAAAAGAAACGTTGGATCAATATATTAATATATAGAGTTGTTGTAGAAGATATCATTGTCTTCTAGTTTAGCATAAGTTGAATCAGAATTAGAACTAGTAACTATTTTATTCTGAATTAGTGAAAACAAGAATTAGCTTTCAAAGCCATAATCTAATACCCGCCAGCCTTTCATAAGATATATGTCTTTGGTTGAACCAACAAGTTTAGCTAAAATGAGACCAACATTTTCGTTTCACTTCCAACATAGTAATCAAGAATGAGAGTTAGTTATACCCTTTTTCTACTTTTAGATAGATGGTAAATAGTTTTCAGATGTTTAGGGAAGAGAGTTGATGGTATGGTCCGTTTTGAGTAATTATTATCAGCAGACAGAAGCTGTTATTTTCACTGAAAACGTCAATACGATTGTAAACTATTCTTGTTATTATCTCAATTTCTCATGCATAATTTTTTTTCTAGAGGTTTATATCATCCACTAATATATGATCTCTTCTTTTTTCTTTTCCACCTACAGTTTTCCTTATATGTACAATTAATTTTCTATAGTTTCCACCCCTAAAATACTCGTAGGTAATTACAAATATAAACGATGTCCAGACACTCTTTATAAATTGGAGTATACTGTTGTCAAAAAAAAAAATTGGAGTATACTACTCATGAAACCTTGTTTTTTTATTTATTTATACTTTCATAAAACTGTGACTACTCATGACTTCAATCAACCTAAACCAGAAAAAGGGAAAAGAATGAACAATTGTAAACCAGAACTATCCAGAACATACCAGAAAAACACACAAACAAGAAAGGTATACTAACATGCTTTCTTAACACAAAACAGTCAAAGATGGTAAGACTAGTAATTGAAGAGAAGTATTCTACATGTTCTTGCATCGTTACATTTCATCAACCCAAAAAAAAATTGAAAAGAAAAGAGAGACAAGAAGAGAAAGATTTAAGAAAAAGAAAACGAAAGTAGAGAGCTCTGAAGAGGAAAAAGCTTTATAACTAAGTAGAGCAGCAACCTCTCTTGGAAGCTCCAGAGGTATCATCAACGTTAATCGTTGTTCCTTGCCCTGGAATCGCAGAATTAGCAGCCGCTGCTTCTTGAGCAGCCAAAGCTTTTTTGCTTATGATGTGATAAATCTCTGCAAGAACGGTTTGAAATGCTTTCTCAACATTTGTGGCTTCAAGAGCAGATGTCTCCAAGAAAGATAGACCTTCTGCCTCAGCTAGATTCCGACCATCTTCCTCAGCAACTGATCTCAAGTGGTTTAGATCGGATTTGTTCCCAGCCATCATGATCACAATGTTGGAATCCGCATGGTCTCTTAGCTCGCGTAGCCACCTTAGGGCATTGTCAAACGTCTGTCTTTTGGTGATGTCATAGACAAGAAATGCACCTACTGCGCCTCTGTAGTAAGCGCTTGTGATGGCTCTGTACCGCTCTTGCCCTGCCGTGTCCCATATCTGAGCCTTTACAGTCTTTCCTTCAACCTAACATAACCATAAGACAATCACAAAACAAATAGTTAATAACTAAAAGGTCACAGAAACTGATATGCTTTAAGCAATTAACAAGCAAGAGCCTGATATAAGCATTCACTAAATCATGTTGATTAAACACAAAGAATCAACATTAGTAAAACATCAGCCACCTAAAACTACATGTAAACTATGTATCTGCAGTCGGTAAACTATGTATCCAAAGCTCTTTCATTGCATAATTATTTGATGAGTTGACATTTTGAGGGATGAAGGGTTGACTTTGATGATCAGTACAAAAAAAACATTATTGGGGGCACAAGTTGTGGGAAGCCTTTTGTCCACTGTCTCTCTCCACCATTCATTCATTTATAGACATAAATTAAAACAAAAGCATGGCTCGTTATGACTCATGGCCAGCACATCTTCGAATCTCTATTGATTTATATCTCTCTCAGATAACAAAATAAAAAGAATCAAACTAACTTTCAAAAAGGAACTGATGGAAGAATGCAACCGAATAGTTACAAAGATTAATATATTCAAAGCAACAGGACCTTTCACAAGTTACATTGTACCCAACATACAGCCTCTTCTAGAGACTGAACCAAAAATGATTGTAAATGATGCAACTCCAAAGATACAAAAAGGCAAACAAATGAAGTATCATTGACCTGAATTTTCTACAGGTTGGTGATGAGATCATGACGCTAATAGATTAGCAAACCAAAATGAAAAACTGAAGAGGAAAGTAAAGGCTTTTCACGGTTTAGGGCTAAAATATAGTTGGAAAAAAAAGAGACAGGGCATACTAAAAACCACCACAAAATCGCAGATCCTAACACATAAACCACACAGAGATCACGTGAAAAACATAGCGCTAGTTAGTGAAAAGTCATTGTCTTTATTCACCAACATTGATTCTACCATTATAACATAAAAAAAGGAAGAAACTTTGAACAACCTGAAGAGTTCTAGTGGCGAATTCAACACCAATGGTGGACTTAGACTCCAAGCAAAACTCATTCCTTGTGAATCTAGACAATATATTCGATTTCCCGACACCTGAATCACCGATCAACACGATCTTGAACAAGTAATCGTAATCCTGTTCTACTCTATGCGCCATTTTGCTTCCTCTTTGATCTCACAAAAAAAGAAACAACCTATACAGAAAAACATACACAACATCAACAAGCGATCAACACAGAAACCACATCAGTGAACATACCTTCTTCAGATCTGCTTAAGGATGAAACTTCTACAGAAGGAAACACACTCCGATTTATGAAGATTTTCAACTGATTGAGGAACTGCTTTAATTGTCTGTGGCCTTCCCCTTTGTGTATGATGATGTTCGTATCGTATGTTGTGTGTGTATATTCGAGTTAATACGACAACAGAACCGACGACGTATTAAAGAAAGATAAAGAGGGGTGAGTTGGCAGCTTAACTAGCAGGCTGACAAAAGGTAAGAGGATGTTTCAGGGGTATTGTAGGAATTATGGTTGGAGTTAATTAATTTTCTGTTACGGTAACCACGGTCATGTTACATGGTTACCAGCCAATTGCTTGGAGACACGTTTTTAAAGCATATTTAAAAAGATTATCTCTCCGTCTTGTAATGATTTTTGTATAATTTACGTTCTGTCAATGTATTGGTGATCGTCTGTTGATTTGATCATTGAGTAGTCGACAATAGATAATTTCTCTCGTAATTGGTTTATTTCTGTCAATGTATCGGTGATTGTCTGTTGTTTTGATAATTGAGTATTTACACTCTATACACAACACTTATATAATAATTGTGTGACTGCATCAATACACTATATATGTTTTCGATACAATTAATAGAAAATTAGATTACTACTTTACCCTTGTATGATCATCAATAACTTGTACAAACGATAAATAGATATAACATCTATATCTTTTTCTGTCTCTAATAATTTAACTCAAACCAGATGAGTTAGTCTGGTAGTAAATGGCCACCTGAGTTCGACTCGTTTTGGCCACTACAATTACATATTCGGGGTGCAGTGACACATATTAGTTCCTTGGATCTAGAAAACTTTTGGAGAAACTGTGTTTAATCAAAAAAAAAAAAAATTAACTCAACACGAAATTTTTTTGTGTCACGCAAATGGGCATATTCTAGTTTTTGGAAACTTCCCCAACAATTCTTTAGTCACATATCTTAAAATTCTCTCAAAACATCCTTCTTATATATAGTAATATCTACTCTCCTCCGCCATGGTCTGTCTCCCTCAAGTGTGTAAACCAAAGTGGTTAACTCGTGATTTCGCTCCAAGCCACTGCAGGGTTCTCGCCTCCTCCGTGACATTACAACGTTCTCCGCCGCGACTGGCTCTCTTCACCATCGAAGCCATCTCTAGTTCTTGAGCTATCCTTCTTCACGAATCAGTTATGCCAAGACTAATCCTGAGCTCCAATTGTTGTCACACAATAACGGATTTGCCGTTGTCCACGCTGAAGCCAAGCTTGAATCTCTTCCAGTGGTGATTTCACAGATTATTGCAAAACATGTCCCTAGGCTTCTGGTTATTTTCATATTCTCCTACGACTTTGTAAATTGTAAACATGTCCTCAATTCAGCCCTTTAACTTCTGATTGTGACAATTTAGCCTGGGAAAAAGTTCTGAATTTGTAGCACTGGTCCATGTATTCTTGAAATCTTTTGTTTCCCAGTTAATAATATGTTTAGCGTATATTAATCAAGGGCATAACATATCAAATATGCTCTTACTTGCATTGTTGTCTACTCAACTACATGTACCATTATGATGGATGCGTTACACATTATCACCTTGTGTTTTGCCAATCAAGATGTTGCACAAACTGGAAATGTAAGTCTGACCTAAACACTTCATAAGAATGATGCTCTTTTTGTTGTTACATCTCCTAAGTCATATAACTGTCTTAGGTGGGTTAGCAAACATAGTATTTTAGCCAAATTTATGGATTTTTGTTCGTTGATGTTCGCGCGTTAGCAATATATAGTTGTAAATTGCAGGCTACGTAAGCAGCCCGCGGATCGGGACGGGAGCGGGGACGGAAAATGTCAAACTTAAAATTCATAGATACGGGTACGGCAGAAAAACATCAAACAAGGCCTTACTCCAGAAACCCTTATCATCGTTCCAATCATTGAAGTCTACGTCGGGTTCGTCTTTGAAATTCAATCCAGTCACATCATAAAATTCTTGCTGAGAAAACCTAAGAGGCATGTTTGCAAAAGCAAACCACAACTCGTGAAGCTTGGAAACCTTCAGCTGCTTGCATATGAAGCTGTGAATATTTTCCCCGAGTAAATGAGCTTGTTATCTACGATTGCCAGAATCGGATCGAAGACAGGTCTTTCAAAACTTCCCCATACTCATCCTTAAGAAAGTCTTTCAACAATGCCAGTATTGTACGTCTACATATGTTGTTGATCTTATCAATCCGGATCTCAGCTCTTTCTTCAAGAATGCGTTTTGGAAACTGGTAAGGCATTCCTAAAAAAACAAGAAATTTAAAACTTCAACTCGTTAGCCTTTACATAACTAAATGAGTGTAAAAAAATAAATAAAATGTTCTACTTTACTTGTGTAATTGCAAACAAAAGAATCCCAAAAGTATAAACATATTAAACTTATTAGCCTTTCAAGTCTATTACGAATTCAAAACGTAATACTAAAACAAAATATAACTCAAAATCAACTCAACAACCAAAGTTTTGTTCCTGGTTCGATCCTAGACAACATGTAAAATCGATCTCTTTTACATGTCGAAATCATTAGCCTTTTCAAGTCTATTTCGAATTCAAACAATAATCTATATAATAATAGTACACTTTTAAAGCTCCTCAGCGTGTCCATGTCATCAAGTTTGCGGGGCCTGCGCGTGTTATTAGGGAAAACAAAAACGTATAACATTTTGTAAGATTGAATGTTATTAATGAGTGATGAAATGACCCAGTGGTGTAAGTTGGTGATGAGAAGTTGGTACCGCGCGTGCGTGGGTTCGAAACGCAGTGCCTGCATGTAATTTTTTTTTTTTTTTAATTTGGGCTTTTCGGGATACCTAAAAGCTTAGGGAGATTTAGAATGATTTTTTATGCTGGTTGTTGGGATACAAAATGACTTAAGGATTTGAAACTTTATGAGACCATCTTAGATACTTTTATAAGAAAGGTTATCATGTTCTAATCTCCAATATCATTTCAATTTAGTTATAATCATCAAATAAAATAAAAACATATTTTTTCAATAATACTTATTTACCCCGAACCATTCAGATCGGCCATAAATCTCATATACATCACAATTAAAAAAAAAAAATATATATATATATACAACATAATTTCCGAAAGAAAATTACACTAATAAATACATGTCATTTTTTGTCTTGTCTCCATTAAATTATTTGTTTGCATGAAAGCACTAATAACAATAATGCTCGATAAAATCACTAATAAAGGGAATGCTCGATAAAATCACTACGAAGATAAAATATGAAAATATCAACCCATATGAATTCGATGTTTATTCTTTTATCAGACTAATCAAGTTGTGTGATTTCTAATGTTTCATTCATCATCATTATAGATAAGCCAGATAAACAAATGTTAAAAAAAAAAACAGCAAAGTCTCCTACACAAAACTACACAAAATATCAACAACGTATCCAACCCCCGCGCTTGTGTGGAGACTATGCATCTAGTACAAATACAATACCAAACAAAATATAACTCAAAATCAACTCAACAACCAAAGTTTTGGGACCGAGAAAAAAAATTCACATAAAGGGGATTTCAAAACAACCAAAAAATTTAAGCAATGCAATTTATTTCTCCGACATGCATATAAACAAAAATGAAAAAAAAACAAGATCCATAAAGGGGATTCAAAACCCTAATCTTTGAGTTTTGAGAACCGAGATGAAGGAAGAACAAAAGAGGAACAATGTGAAGCAAATCATGTTTTTCCGAGAGAAGAAGCTACTTCGGAGGTTAGACAATTCTGATAACGACGCCAGAAAGTTATGAGACGAGTAAAATCGACTGAAAGTAAAGACGAAAGGAGGACGACGGAGAGATGTGATGACTGTTCCGAGCTCTTCGGCGAAAGAAAACGAAAGGGGTCTCGGCGAAAAGCAAATCACTATTTCTTCTTCGATTGAGACACACAGTCGGAAGCTGAGAGTTAATGTTTGGGCCTTAATGTTTTTACTTCTTTTGTTTTTTTATTTTGTTTAATTTGGTTTTCTTTTATTTTTACTTTTTCTTTTCAATTAATTTAGAGAAACTTACCAAATTTATTGAGAAAATGTATAAGAAAAAAACAAAAAGGAATATTCATTATTATTTGTACTATAGGGACAAAGATGGTGAATTAAATTTTAAAGAGACAATAGTATAGGTATTTTATCTCTTTTTGGCAATTTTCCCAACAATCAATCTCTAAGAAAAATGTAAATTGTTGACACAAAAAAGAAAAAGTAAATTATTCATATTGGGTAAATATCATATATGGCTATTTAACAAAAAATATTTGCCCATATCTCAGCGAGTAAAAATCACGCGCGGTAGCCAAAGCCGAGGACGCAGGGAAAGAGACGAGGAGGAGGAAGAAGAAGATGAGAGAGACGGTGAAGTTGATAAGCATGGAGGGTTTCGAATTCGTGATCGACAGGGAAGCGGCCATGGTTTCACAGACCATCAGAAGCATGCTCACTTCTCCAGGTTCCCCTCTTTCTCCTCTCGTTTATGCGGTTTTAATTTAGGGTTACTGATTGATCGCAAACCCGTTCTTCTGATCATTTACGTGTCTACATCAATTTGAGCTTGAGATTAAACTCAATTCGAAATTCAGTTGCGTTGATTTTGGATTTGGACAAATCCAAAGTAACGATCTTGCAATAGTGAAAGAAAATTTCAAGAAACCCTGTTGTTGTTGTTACCATTGGGTAGGTGGGTTTTCGGAGTCGAAAGATGGCGTGGTGACTTTCCCTGATATCAGCACAACAATTCTAGAGAAGATCTGTCAGTACTTCTATTGGTCTCTTCAATACTCCAGGTTCATTCCCTCTGCATTGATCTCTAGAACATGGCATTGTAGCCTTTCGTAGCCCCCTACCTAACCACTAGTTGCATTGCTTCCTTCTATCTATGTATATCACTTAGTGGATCATTCGCTAAGAAATAGTTTTCATCTTTAGAAGTCTCTGGTGGTGATTGTGGCATTAGGGAAAGTAATATTTGTTTCAAATCATGCTTTGAGTATCAGCAATCCGCTGTTTCAATCAATCTTTTTTTTCTTACAGAGGCAAAGAGACTAAGTTCCACATCGAGCCTGAACTGACCTTGGAGCTGATGATGGCTGCTAATTATCTTCACACTTGATGATTTTTTAATGCTCACTCTAGTTTTTCTTTGTAACCATAACACGTCAACTTCCGTTGGGGCTTTTAATTGTAAGCCTTTGACAACATTTGTATGCTTATAATAACTCCGAGGGAAACTTGTCTACTTTAGTTCTTGTGGGGTTATTAGTTACCTTTCTAACTGCTTACCAAGATTTCTAATAAGCAAACATAAAAATTTACTAACTTTGTGATAAGCTCTGGTTTATCACTGAAAAAAGACGTTTGTCTGCAAACGTAAAATTTACGTTTCGAGGCCTTAGATTAGTCTATGTAAGACTTTTCGTGTCAGAAGCAAAAGTCTTGCCTTTTTGGGCGCGGAGGTTGATCTGTTTAGTCATTTTGCAGCTAGCTGATTGAACAAGACACTACTCACCCGGAGACCCGCTGGGGACTCTAGTGGCCACTGACGGTACACACACCGCGTCTGTTGCGGCTGGAAACACAATCCCAAACACAAGCTTCTTTTGGCTGGAAATGGAAGGGTGAGACTTGAGAGGTGCTGAATCGCTGCTTACCGAGTCTGTGCTGGAGAAGGCAGAGATGATAAAATATTTGTCTGCGTTCGATGATGTCATTGCTGGCGGTGAAGGCAGAGATGATGTCATATCTGGCCATGGTTTTACTTTATATTTTCTTAACAGATTTTTGACTTAAAAAAGACGAATACTATTTTTGTTGTTTTATCTACAAATGAATAAAAATTCTTTTATTTTGATAATTTAAAATATTACATTGATCAAAATCAAGTTTCAACTATACAAATATAAAAAATGTTTTAAAAAGTGTGGATATTTTTTGTTGACCGTAAGGTCAAATATTAAATGAAGTTATACTATTATTATATATATCTATAATATATAAGAGTTGTTCTATTAATATTATTTCAGTTTGGTATAATGTTTTCACTGTATTTTCATATCCGAGTGAGACTTATTAATCTATTTATTGATATATTAATAAATATTTGACTTTGATAAAAATAAATATTTTTGTACATACTACTTGATCACGAATTTACGTTATTTGTAAGTTGTCGAAATCTATATGAAGATTAAGATCATGTATCTATACTATTAAAAAAACTGTTATTAAATTTATTTGTAAGTATATTAACTATCAAACTACATAAATATAGAACAAACTAGGTAGTAACCCGCTCTTTGCGCATGGTGAAATAGTTTATAGATTATATATTGTACATTATATTTATAATTTTTTTGTATAATTTTTTAGGCATGAATATTCATATAGCTATTCGGATTCAGTTAACTTATTCAGATTTCAGATTTTTAGAGTTAGAAATTTAAATCTTATTCGATTATTTACAAATTTTAGTTTACATTTGGTTAGAATCATTTTGGGTTCAATATAAATTCGAGTCCGGATGTCCACTTTAATTACATATTTTCAAAAAAAAAATAATTCAAATATACTTAAGTCCTTAAAATACAAAATTAAAATGATATAAAACATAAAAATTTGAATACTATAGGACTAAATATTTAAGTTGCATAAAATTTAGTTCAATTTAAATATTATCCATATTTTGAACATTTACTAATATTTTGAGATATTTACTTGTGATTATGTTGATAAACTTTAGATATTTTCATATTTCTGAATATCTAATAGATATAAAATTTAAAATACTTAATATATTTAAGTATATAATTATAAATTAGATATTTTGATATCCAGAATAGTTTAGTTTGTATTAAATTCGAGTATTGTTATCTGGATATTAAAATTTTAGATTCATCTGATTACTTAATTGGTTTTAGTTTGTGTTTAATACTACTTTTAAATCTAGTTCGGTTCGGTTCATCGGATCCATATATTTACCTATACTTGCTTTCTTTTTGTAATAAGAAGAAAAATAAATGTAAAACAAATATCTTTTCTTATTTAACATTCATAATCATTAGTCTATACTTTAAGAATAATAAAAATTATTGGATGTTCTGTCAATATTCTTGGACATGTTGCAAATTGACCTAGCCTATAACCAATAACATGTATTTTCTATAATCGAGCAAAAGAGGCTAGAGTTGTGTGTAAAATAATGCGATCTCTTCACTCGGCACCTGAATTTTGTTTTCAATTGATATCACGAATTTTATTTCCTTTTAAATTTTTTCTGATTTTTAATTTTTCCTAGTAATCTGATTATATTTATAATTCTTAGTATGATATGAAAACTTCGTAAAGAAAATCAATTGTTGGCTAAACTAAAGATCCGACTTCGTGTGTAGTGTTTTTATTTCAGTTTTTTTTTTTAATTCATATCCAATCACAATTATTTGTTGTTTTTGTGAACAGAAACCTCAACCATAGCCAAGTTCGGCAAGATATGAAGTTTTTATTTTCTAATAACATCCTCAATCCAGAATTTTAGTTAATCTTAATGATTTTTTATTTATTTCTTTTAAATGATATTATTCAGTAGTTGTACAAAGAGAATTTCAATTAATTTCAGTTCATTATTACAAATGTTAAAAATGCATGAACTAAAAATGAGTTGATTGAAAAAAAAAATAGAATGCGAATACATTAAATTATCTATAGTGTAGTTAAAAAATTAGGGTGTAAATGCATTAATTGTTAAACGATTGTGAGGACAACACGTCAACATATTCAAAAAATATAGTTTGAACATTTTATTACGAATGCTTCTCCTTTAATATTTAGGGGATTATTACTCATTTATTATTAAATTTTTATTAATAGTATCTATTCTAAAAAATCTTTTGAAAAAACACAGTTTGAGACAAATGTTTTATTATTAGAAATCTACATTATTTTTTAATTTGGAAAGACATATATGTAAATAATAGCATATTCTTAATAATGATTTCTTGCCTTTTATTATTTATAACTTATGATAATAAATTTATTTTTTAGTATTAAGGCTGATGGACGTTATTTTTGCAAAAATATTCAAAAGTATTTTGAAAGAGAATTAGCCCATTAATCAAACCCATTAATAGATATTGATTGTACTTAATTATATAGTTTTTAGGCCAAAAAACTAAAAGAAAATTATGTTATTAATGAAAATTTCAATTTGTTCATAACATTGAAATGTAATTTTAGAAAACGTAAATATTTTATTAAAGGAAATGATCCATTTTTAATGGTATTGATGTAAAACCATGGAAACCTCTATAATTTTGGATATAAAATTATTAAATATCATCAAAATATATTAAATGTTAAGAAAATATAAAGATAATTCTATTATAAATATAAAACGAACAATATAATATATATTTTTATTTCATAAAATAGGTATACATATTATTTATTAATTTATAATTTAACAGGATCATATATTTATATAGAATTTTATGAAAAAATAATACCTTATTATTAATTTGTGTCAATTTTGAAGGGAAAATAGGTTTTTAATTCCCCAAGTATTTGTAATCAGCACTTTTAATACTCAAATTCTACTTGTACAGTTATAATCCTCAAGTGAATGTTGACCGAGTAAAATTGAACTTTAAATTGAATCGTTATGTTTTTGACGGAAACGTTAGAGCAAGATTATCCCAGCACCCCACTAGGGGGTGCTTAATGTTTTGTTTTTCCGGATTTAAAAAAAACAGAAAAGGACCAATCGCGGGACGCCATATGTCGTGGGGCCCACAGAACAGCCCAAGCAACAAGCAGAATCAGGCGCTTATGGAGGCATTTTAAGCACTCAGTTTTTGTTTTTTGTGGACCCCTCCCTAAATACCCTTTAAGCACCCCGGGTGAGACATCTCACGATGTCATGATACGCCCATTCCTATGGCCATTCCTTCAATACTCCTGGCTCTCGGGAGTCTCTTTGTAGGATACTTGGCCAAAGTGTGACCTGTTAGTCCATACCCCCTAAGCACCCTTGGATGCAAGTGCTCTTAGTTATGATAAAAAAAGAGATTCGATTTGTCTTTTGAAACCCATAAATCTCTCACTTCGATTATTCAGTCGATTTTGGTGGAGAGGAGCTGATTTCCGGCGAGAAGTGGACAATTCCAACGAAAATAAAAAAATTCTAGCGAGGAGAGGAGGTGAATTCCAGTGAGCATTACATAAGCCTTATCGTTTTGTTGTGTATGGTGGGGAGAGTAGAAGAATCATAAGACCGTGCAAAACAATGTCAATGAGACCAAGTCAATCAATGTGGGGGTCAATCTTAAGCGCTTATTGAAACCTCAGAGATTGCTTTAATGGTTTTAATTATTGATTCTTCATTGTTCTTCTTTAACCGCAGAGATTTCTTTTTAATAAGAGTTTTATATTGCAACTGTTGCAGGATGAGTACTTGTACATGTGTGATTTTAAGATTATGGCCAAAGTTAGAAGGACAAGACACGGTGTTCATTGGCGACAGATCAAAGCAAAGACCTTACAAATTCCCATATTCAAATCAACTTGTGTCATGGAACGTGTTTACAGAGCTGTTTATGATATAAGTTCTCCATCTATTCAAATTTGGATTGAAGGTTTAGTAGTTCTTTCTCATGGGTAGATAGTTTTTTTTGTCTAAGGATTTCATTTCATAACATTCAAAACAGAATAATCAAAGAACATAGTTTGGATACAACACTTGTTGTGAAAGCAACAGCTAAACAAGTTGTTGTGCATTGATTAAAACTACAAGATAGTGGAGTGAAAAGAGTGACAAAGTTTCTGAAAAGAGGACAATAGAGTCAAAAAGTAACTGAAGACTTGAGATTCTATGAATCTTTGATGATTGAAGAGATTCAAGCATCGTTGGCAAGAGACGAGCCTACACTCAAAACTAATAGAGGAGCCTTGGGAAGAGGACCACCAATGCCAAATGAGTAACCCTGAAATAACTGAAACCAAAACCACCAAAGAAAAACTTTGGAGTACCATTTTATTTTACTTTGGAGTACCAATTTTTTACCTCAGTATGGGTTATTTTGACTTTTGCTTTGTTGGATTTTTTTTTTGACCAAAAGAAAAAACCACCAAAGCAAAGGTCAAAATAACCTCATACTGTGGTAAGAAACTGGTACTCCAAAGTAAAATGTCCTAATACTAAAATAAGTCGGTAAATAGAGATTCATAAATGAAACTCACAGAGACTGCAATATGCTCAATCTGAGGTAAAAATAGCTTCAAAGAGAGCATAACATCCTCATTCTAGAGTAAAAGTAGACTCGTATTGAGGTAATTCAAACATAACAAAAGGCAATGCTGTAAGATAAGTGACTTACTCCAATACACTGAGGAACCCAAACCTTGTGAACGTTGATACAAGGAGCGAAGGATCCAGAAAAAGATAATCATGGGTTCTTCCAGAGGATATGACATGATTGAGAGCTGCACAAAGAAGTAGATAGCTGCACTCCAGAAGACACAAGAAGTGAACCACCAAATCCAGAACGAGATCTTCGAGGGGTAGCTGAAGCTTCAAGGAAGCAAGGTCGACATAGAGAAAGGAATGAATCTGATGGGTCTAGAGGATATGTAAGTGGAGTGACAACAAGTAGATTTTGTTGAAAGAAACAACAAAAACAACGGTTTTTGAATTGTCCTCTTCTCGCCGGAACTCACCTCCTCTCCACCAAAATCGCCAAAATAAACTAAGCGAGAGATTTCTGAGTTTTAAAAGACAAATCAAATCTCTTTTCTCCTGTAACTATA